TTTACAGGTTCTTAAGGTCTACCATTACCCTGTAACTGTCACTGTCATTCAGTTTGCTGTTGGGACTGTACTTGTTGCCCTGATGTGGACTTTTAACTTGTATAAGAGGCCAAAAATCACTGGTGCACAGGTAATTAGAAAAACATTTTGGTGCAACATTCTCTTGGGATTGTTGGTTCCTTTCTGGATTGATTCTAATTTTTTAATTGTTTATTTGCAGCTAGCAGTAATTCTACCACTTGCTGTGGTGCATACCTTGGGCAACCTCTTTACTAATATGAGTCTAGGAAAAGTGGCTGTTTCTTTCACTCACACGATTAAAGCTATGGAGCCATTCTTCTCAGTTCTGCTTTCTGCAATGTTTTTAGGAGAGGTAATTTCTTGTTTAGTTATTTTCATAATTTTTTTCCAATCATATTTTTATAATTATATTGTATCTATAAATACCTTTTTAAGTTTCCTTTCTTCTGTAATCTCTTGAAGTTATTCAAATTGTTGATTTTTTTACAAGAGTGATTATTGTGCCTGTTTGAAACTTCTTCAGTGTGAAAACTGATGCAGTTTCTTTCGTTTTTGGGAATTAGTAATGCAATTTCATGTTGGTTCTAACTTCGAGTATGATATTTTACTGTTACAGCTGCCAACTCCTTGGGTAGTTGGTTCCCTTGTACCAATTGCTGGAGGAGTTGTACTTGCGTCTGTTACTGAATCCTCATTTAATTGGTAAGAATTGTACATACTAGCATCTACTATCGTCCTATAACTGTAGAAAGTTTTATTTTACTTGCTATCCATTTCTGAATTTGATACAGATATCTTGTTACCAAGTACTTGAATTGGTTACTTTTATATCATTGTAATATAACCTCCCCTTTTTTACCTATACAGGGCTGGATTTTGGAGTGCAATGGCTTCCAATTTAACAAACCAGTCCCGTAACGTTCTTAGCAAAAAAGTTATGGTTAAGAAAGAGGTAATTTTATTTTTTGATGTCTTTTCTTGGTCACTATGGTGCTAACATTTATTGGAGTATAAATTCTATCTCCTTGTTTGTTTCACTGCAAAGTAATCTCTATTCATTGATAATCAAATTTTGGAGTTGATTTTTTTATTGGTACATAACAAGCTGTTATTATGTTACAGGACTCTATGGACAACATTACCCTCTTCTCAATTATAACAATTATGTCCTTTTTCTTGCTAGCCCCTGTGGCTGTCTTCATGGAAGGCATAACATTTACCCCTGCCTACTTGCAATCTGCTGTGAGTATTCTTAATCAGCTAAGTTGCTATAGGTGCCCTGATTTCACTTTTGATAATGTTGTCTTAATCTCCTTGTAATGGACTACACTTTTGTCTAACAGGGTTTAAATGTTAAAGAAGTTGCTGTAAGATCTCTGCTTGCTGCTCTTTCCTTCCATGCCTATCAGCAGGTAAGAACTTTTTCTTTTGATGGTTTTTCGTGATTCTTAAGAATCAAATGCATGGGTACAATTTCACTTCGTAGTGATGAACAAATTAAAAATGGGACAAAACTTGAGGTTTCTTAGGTCAAGTTCGGTAGGTTTCTTGTTGAAAATACCAAAGTAAACTTAAATTTGGAAAACAAAATAGATGGGTTGAAATATCATGTGATATATACAAAATCTCAAAAAAAATTGTATTTGTTCTGATGATTTATTTAAATGGGCATTTTTATTGGAAGTTCAAACAAGTCAAAGAGTCACTGTTCAATCCATATATAAAATCTAAGCCTAGATGCTACTTTGATTAACTTTTTGCATATTATTGATCTTCTTATTGAATTCTATTGGTCTATTTGAGGAACTATATTGATGTATTTGGCTCTAGAGAGATTGAGAAATAATTGATGTAAGGAAGTGCAATGATTACGTCGGATGTCTGAATGTCTCTATTTTCTTCTTTTTTATTCATTTCTTTTATGAAAGTAATAAAAGTTTGAGTTATGTCAAATCCTTCAAGTGCAGTCTTAAATTTATTTTTAGTGCAGTCTGCTCAATGCAAAGGTGATTAGTGTTTGATGTAAAACTATAATATGCAGGTTTCATATATGATACTGCAAAGGGTATCCCCGGTTACTCATTCTGTGGGCAACTGTGTGAAGAGGGTGGTTGTTATTGTCAGCTCTGTTATTTTCTTTAAGACACCGGTCTCACCGATCAATGCTCTTGGTAAATTTGCATTCTAATAATTTGTTATTGAAAATTGTGGCTGTTTTGAGTTTTTTTAATGGCGCCTTTATGTTTTATAGTTAATGGATCTTATTGTTATTATTTCTGCAGGAACTGGAATTGCCCTTGCTGGAGTTTTCCTGTATTCTAGGGTCAAGCGCATTAAGGCAAAGGCAGCGTAATAGGTTTGCCTGATATGTTCAACTTTTATGCGACAGATTGAAGGATTTGTTTCTAGTTTAGACGGAACCTATTTTTGGTTTTTGTTTTCGTATTTGGATCATTTTAATTCTATTTTTGCTGACTGCATTGCTACTTGATCTTTTAATCAAAGGGTCGATTGTCATTTTATAAGTTGGTTCTTACATTTTATTTATTTATTATTATACTATAATGATTATAAGGTAGTATCTGTTTTAAAGGTTCACAACCATTTGACAATGGAAACTCACACTCTGTAGTATATGGTCCTCAAATCTAGAATCTCTAAGAATAATAAGCACCTCTCTAATCATTGAGGTAGTTTGGTTCGAACGTTACTTTTAAGATAAAGGAACTTTACAATCTTTATTTCCAACTTTCTGATCCAACCGAAAGTGGAATACCATTGTGGGGAGTGTGGATATAGCACCAAAGTTAAATTATTTGGCTATGCAGTGGGGATCACAAGTTCCACAGGTGATTTGTGCAAGATATGTGGAGGAGAATGTGAAGCTGACGTACGCTCACTTAAGAATCGTGATGGCTGCTAGCTTTTCGCAAAATAATTATAGGGTAAATTATACAAATGATTATTAATATTTGAATAAATTTTATTTTTCTCATTGAAGTTTTAAAACTAATTAATTGGTCATTAATACTATTGATTTATAGCAGGTAATAGCTGTTACGGAAGATGATAGAATGTTGATATGTTGATGTGACACTTTACACTCATGTTGACCACACTTCGACTTAAGAAAATAATTTTGAAATAAAGCCCTCTTTTCTTCTTCACCTTTCTTTTATCTTCTTTATCTTTCAAAAATGGAACAGTGAGATAAACCAAATCGGCAAATCCCATAAGTGAAATGACAGAAAAAAAATGAAGCTAATCTGTGAACATACTGTGAAGTTTTAAACACCGATGTAGTTCCATTTCCAATGAGCTCAAGTACCACACCATGCATTCCTTTAAGGTTATTTCCAATGCAGATGTTTCTCCAACCACATCCAATATAGACTTGACTATCACTCTCCTTGTGTCCTAGACTTGCCATCCGTGATCTCCGTTGTTCATCAACAACTGTCTCACAAGATTTACCTATAAAACCATTGAATCTCGTAAATTTTCTCGGAATATTATGCAGTTGTAAAACTTGAAACATGAAAAGCCTGAAACCAAGAATTGATTTTATAGGCATGTTGTTTGTAACATACATGCTAACCAATCTGAACCTTTTCATGCATGCAATAGTGCCTCAAAGTTGCCACTAAATGAGGGCTTCCATGGCTCACCCGAGTGCTCGCCCATTTATCTTTGGTTGAACTTCTGGTTTGGTCTTTGATTTTGGTAGCAAAAACTGGGTATTCTCTTTGACATGCACTGGTATCAAATACCAGAACGTCGAGCACCATGTTTCCTCCATATCCGAGCACCAAGAAATCCCCTACATGCAAATCGTGGTCTTGAGCGAAATCTTTCCACCCATCTTAAGAAAGGAGTTAATATTTTGGTTGCTCTCCCGGTTCCAAAGCTTCGCCTTCACTTCTCTGGACCAACCCAGCACACCTAATTTTGGTGATTGAGCCTCTCAACATGGGTTTTCTGCATGCACAATAACTCGAACTCGAGACTTGTTTAAACGCTGCTTAATACTTGAACAGACTCCTATTGGTAAAAGGAGTTAATATTTACTCATCCGATGTCCCTATTTCCAAAGCGAGAGGAGGGATGTTTACCTCAAAAAGTGTGGAACAACTTAAAAACCCCTCTTAATCACCCTGAAACTTCGCTCATTTGTTAATGTCCCTCAAATCAAGAGAATATACAAGTAAACAGTGAATTACTAACTACTTCACTTTATGCTCCCTTTTCTAACATTCAAAATCCAATTTCACCAATGATCTTCAAAACAGGAAAAATGCATAACCTCTATATTTTTTAAATTCAACTCCAGTATCATTTTCTTTCATAAACAACACATTTTCAATGTTATCCATAATCAGTGCAATTTAAACCCAATTACACAACAAAAGACAGCACATGATATGATTATTTGGAAGATGATGAAAGACATAGAAGAGAAAGAAAAGTAGAGAAGCAGATGGGGTTTATTAAAAATACTTTTTTGGAGTCAAAGTGGGATCAACGTGATTATAAAATGTCACATCAATATTTTGTTATTTTTCCTAACAACGGTTGACGGCGAGTGATTGATTCTGTTATAAATAGATGTCCAATTCGTTAGTTATCATTATAACAAAATGATTCCACCCATTAAACTAATATATTTGGAACATGGTTGCTTCAAGCTTCTACAGACGGGTATCAGTCAAAATTGCATTTATTGCACCATGCTTTATTTCTTCCATTAAAAGTTGAGTAATTAAGTTTTAATAATATATAAATGAAGGAAAAATCTTTTTCAAAGCTTAGAATTATATCCTTCCATAAGAATCCAACACTAGTGGATTCCGTTCATATGCTTTGTCACATTCATGCAACATTAATTCCGACGAATTCAAGTCCCTTTATTTTTATGTGTGTATATATATAAACCATTATTATTTATTATTTAATCCCTTTCTACTGTAGTGATACCAGTGCCACCCTCTTATCTCTAAGATATTTCTTCTCCATCTAGAAAAACCCTAAACCTCCTCCGGATAGTTTGTCTCACACTGGTTTTGAGGTGTTATTTAGATGTTAGGGTGGGCTGAGATCATCTCCACCAAGTCTAGCTCCTTATTCACTGTCCCCATATCCATCTCAAATCTTTTGTCACCTGCCATAGGAGCAGCGGGTATTTGATCAAGAAGAGAGTCAATGCTGCAGCTCTCTTGAAGCAGTTTCTCATCAAAAGAAAACTCATTAAATACATATTCTGGAACCACACGGTCTGTGCTAGGGCAAAAATCTAACGGCTTGGTCGAGCTCTTATCTGCTGCTGGTACCTCGGTAGCATTCGAAGATTTTTCTTGGGATCTTGTGCTGCTGCTTGACTCTAAGTTTAAGCTCTTGATGTATTCCTGCAGGATGGAGCCTCTAGGGTACTTGGAACGACATTTCCTCTTTGAAAATTGCCTTCTTCTGGTTGCATTCCAATGATTCTTGATGGAGTTTTCTGTTCTTCCAGGGAGCCTCTTTGCAATTTCTGCCCATTTGTTCCCTATTTCTGTATGGGATTCTATTAACACCTTATCCTCCTCCTCACTCCATGTGTCCTTCTGCAATATTTAACCATCTCATATACACATATACATGTTGTGCGTATATCAATATGTGAACATGCATGCACAAGGTAATAATATTATTTAGTGTGACTTAACCTTGATGTCTGGTCTTAGATGATTGTGCCATCTCTCTCGGCATTGCTTCCCTATTCTTCCAGGCAACATCTGAGCAATATGAGACCATTTTCTCACTCCATACTGATCAACTAACTGAATCAGCAGCCTGTTCATGCGTGCAGATATCGGTAAGAAGACAATTGAATTAGTTTGTTTCGGATTCGATCCATGGACAACATTTAATCCCCAACAAAAAGGAAAAAAAAAAGGTCCATAATTTACCTGTCTTCTTCCATTGTCCACTGTCCCTTGACTCCATTAGACTTCTTACGACCTTTCCAATTTGTAGTCCTCCTAGAGGTTGGATTGGCCAATGTCCTATTCTTGTCGCAGTAACCATTTTCTGCAGTCACACACGACATTTCATCCGCCACCACAAAATCAAAGGGTGCCGCCATGTAATTCCCGACGTCGGATCCCATAATAATATCGTTGGACATGTTCCCTTGATGACAAAGGTTCAACATTCCCACGCTCCCGAAGTTGTCCATGACCTGTCCATGTCCGACGCTACCGTGATCCGCTACAGCAGCAAACGGCTTGCACTCGTAAAAATCTAAACTGTTCCTGGAGCAGCTGTAAGGGAATGCATCGAAAGAATCATAAACATAAACAGGGTTCGAAGACGACCCATTGACGTGAATTTGATGATCATGATCGAGGTGGTGAAAGTCTTGCAGGTAATAATCCTTTGAGGAAGAAGATGGGATCGTGGTTTCAAAGGGTTTTAGACAGTTGTCAGACAACAACATCGGCGGCTGGCTTTGAGTAGACATGCTTACCCCATGCTTTGGATCAAACTCCATCGTTCACAAAACCACAATCCAGGACAAAAATATTACGTTTTGGCCGTGTCTTGTCAGCTTTGAGTTCCTTAATAAGGTGAGAAATAAGGGAGGACATTTACTATATTGCTTGATCTAGGCCGTCCATTAAGGCTTAATCCCATGGTTAACATTCACGTAACATCATGCCTAATTATATTATACTGCCCTTGCTTATACCATGTAACCTATAGGCCAAGTGGCAGTTGCTCATTGGCTGGCTGGTGGCAAATTTTCACTAAAAGGGCATTTTAGAAATTAGCAAATTGATATGAAAATTCATGTAAATCAGTAACGCAAAGTGTTGGGAAACTAGAATTAAATACTAAAACAATTAATGAACTTTTAATACTTTCTTTGTAACCTTCAGAATAAAAGTATTAAATGTAAATTGTAACACACATGTAAATGCAACATTAATGCTTGTGAATTTTTCATGAACACATTGAAATGAAGCATCAGAAGTGAAAATGTTATCCCATATTAGAGTGAGGGGCGGGGAAGAACCAAAGGAAGCTACAAGCATTTATGCTGAAAAGCCTTTTCTGGGTTGTTGCCATCGATGTCGGAGTGGTGAGGAAAATCGTAAGGCATTTCTGCAGGGTCAAGCCATGCTTCCTTGAAAACCGTCACAACTTCTTCAGACACAACCGCATTGCCTTCTGCTGTCAGATGCAATCCATCTCTGAAATACATACCAACAACCGATTCATTAGTAACAACAGTTTGCTGTGCCTAATACCCCAACGATTTAGTTGGTTTTTGCCCACCATTAAACCTTAGAAGGAAACTACTTAGATGTCAATGAGCCATCGTGAGAGAATCGGATACCGTGCGGAGGATATAAATGTTGCAAATGTGTGTACAGAACTTTTCTTTGACTAAGGATCTTACTTTTTAGATATCGAGTATCAAGCTTCTAAATGTGCTAATTTAGAATACAACAAACCTTAGATATTTTCTCTGCCAACCATCTGTTTCCTGCATCTTGGACCAAATATTGATGGATCGGATACCCAGTTCTCCAGCTACTTCAACACACCCTTTAGCATACACTCCGGCATTTTCATTTGTTCGTTCTGGCAATTTCATTGCTTTCTCACCATAAGTTGCTCTGTTGAACAAAATTAAAAAAAAAATATTTGAAGTTCATGGCAACCAAAGTAATGTTCAATAATCTAGTACAAGAAATGCACTCTGCAGCCTGCCCCTTGTGAGTGTATTATACGTGCAAGATAAAGTTCATGACAACCAAACCCATGTGATGGTAGCAACACTTTAATTATGTGTAGATCCTTAATAATCTCAAAAAAGATGATAAGGTCCGGTAGTTATGTGTAATGATGGATGAAGGAAAACAATGTCCTGTACCGTGCATATTCCATACGCCCTTCCTCATCAATAGGGGGTGGAGTTATAAGAACCATAAGCATGGTGGGTGAACATTCCTGTGGAGAGACAATGACGATTCGTGAAAAGTAGGTCAACAGAACAAGTATGTAGGTTCAAATGCATTTTCCTATCAGGTGAAGTATGAAGATAACTCGGGACTAACTCCTAAGGACTGCACTTGCTAAAATCTTTGGGCAAGCAGCACCTAGAACTGTCTAGGCTCATGCCGACATTGCTATAGATCATCATCATATGTGCAGATTAACTTGTAGCTTCCTCTTAGTAGGATATATTTTCCATTGTATTCTCAGAATGTACGAAAGCTCATTAGAAAATGCAGAATGGATTCTAGAATAGGGATGTCAGTTACAGAAACATATGCTATAATTAAAGCTGAAAGGGATACAGCGTCAATTGTGAAATGCCCTCCTAAAATGATTGCTTAAAAATAATAGTGAAGAGATGAAAACTTAACCTTCAAATGGGCAACCATTTTTCTGAGGTTGTCCTTGTACTCTTCTATGGGGACATGCTGCCTTTCTCCGGTTCTCCCTAGGAGAGCTGCATCATTAGCCCCGAAGAAAATTGTGGTAGCAATAGGAGGTTTACTCGAGTCCTGAGAGAAGAAAGATAAATCTGAGACTAGCGTGTAATATATGGTGCAAAAATGAGGGGGAAAGCCGGAACAAACAAATACAACAGTTGAATTTCCTGGAATAAACAAAGCAAGCAAAAGAAGATATTTAAATGTTAGTGACTATCATTGATGAAATTAGAGATCACCTAACAATGACGGTACCGTAGAAATGTAAATGTCAAAAGTAGATCATATATGGATAGATTTACATACATACATATACATATTTCCTCCGACTTCAGAGATTATAAAAAATGTTATAAAATGAAAAACTTGATCCCTAAATACACAACAGCAATGAGTTGCATATAACGTCCAATCTGTCCTTGATCTATAAACAAAATGACTAAATCTTAGTTTGTCCACCAGTAAAACTGAATACGAGGGTCATAATACAAATGTGGAGATCTATCCCCCATTCTAAGAACATCAAACAAATTTCAAAAGCACGATCTAAAATCCTAACATTCTAAAACCCTAAACTTTAACAGATCAACAACTCTGCAAATTCACAGCTGTAGCTCCAAAGAAATTAAAAAGGATTGCAGAGGTTTACAAGAGGGAAGATATGATGCAACAAAAATAGAGCCCATCTGGTGTTGTATCCACCATACCCACGAACTAAAACATCGGCCTGTGTAAATCAAAATATATGTATGAGAAAAAGAGTTAAAAGGAGTGAAAATGGGTGATATTTTATTTAGAAGAAAAAAAGGAAGAACCTTGCGAGAGTAGGTGTTAGCAAGAGAAGCACCCCAGCCTCCCGAGCTAAAGGATTCTTGTGTAATTGAATCTCCAAATAACACTATGTTTGGTCTCATTCTTTCTTCTCCCACGAAAGTCGATGCTCTCTCCCTTGGCCTCCGCTGTTCTTATGTACGAGCAAAGATCATTACTTATTAAATTATTGATATATTTTTAAGGCGAATTTATTAATTTTTTTAATGTGAAATTAATCACTATTTATTTATTATGTATGGTCTCAAGTTTATTAAAACTTAGAATAAAGTACAAAAATGATCCCTGATTATTGAGTATTATTTTATTGAGTTACTGACTATTAAAAGTTATAAAATGATCACTCGATTATAGGGAGTTGCTTTCTTAATTCCATCGGGTTTTAAAAGTTACAAAATGGTCACTTGATTATTCATTATAGTCCAAAATAGTCATTTTTCGTTAAAAAAAATTAACGGTCTCCTGAGTTGGACTTTAACATGCTGACTGAGATATGATAGTCGTTTGAGATCATCATCTTAACAAAATAATTTTTTAACGTCCAACTTAGACGACTGCTAATTTTCAATAGAAAAGGATGAGTCTGGAACTTAATGAATAGTCGAGTGATCATTTTGAAACTTTTAATAGTTGAGGGACTCAACAAAGTAACTCTCTATAGTTGGAGGATCATTTTGTAACTTTTAATAGCCAGAGGACTTAATAAAAAATATTTTATAGTTGAGAAACTATTTGTGTACTTTATCCATTAAATTCTTATTTTTTTAAATTGTTTTAAGGTAAATTCATTAATTTCTTAAATGTGAAATTAATCACTAATAATTTACTATGGGCCATTTTGGCATTACATTTAATGTGTAAATTAATTTTAATATATAAACATATCAAAATAGATTATAGAAAAATATAAATATAAATATAATTATAATAAAAAAATATAAAATGAAAAAATAATTAGTATATAATTAATACATAATTTATACAAACAATTAAATTTTAAAATTCTTTTTCTGGGTAAATGAGTGGAGTCCATGCAACACAGTAAGAGTAAAATTATAACTTTTCTTTTAAACAGAAATTTGAACTGCCAGAAAATCCATCTTTTGTAGTTGGTTTAAAATCATCGCTCTAAATGCACTTTTACCTTTAAATTTTATTCGGTTGATAATGATTTTGATTTAAAACCTGACTTTTAGATAAAAAGTGAATCTAGACAACATTACCAATTTAATACCCCAAAAAATATGGTTAGTGAGCAAAATGAATATTTGAAAGTTTGGTGACTAAAGTATAAACTCGAGAAAATTTAAGGACTAAAATGGTAATTTTCAAAAGTATATATTTTGTCCCGAAAATGAATAAATATCCTTAAGAATGATGTTTTGGTGACACTTGGATTTTTAGTACGGAGTTTGTGTCAAAAGCTATAAAATGCTAAAGTTCAAGAAAAATTCGGATAAACGGATTGAATCGAAAATTCAGGAAATTTTTCTTGATGATAAAGCAAGGGGAAAAATATCTTTTCCATACTTTAAAATTATAAGATTTAATGTGGACCATTGGATTTAATTGATTTCCATGTTAAATCTTAACCATTGGATTAAAAAGGACAAGATTGTAATTTTGAACTTTACAAGGGTAAAGTTGTAGACTACTAACTTTATGGTTTAATTTTAGCTCTTGGATGATAAATTTGATATGTGGCATGATTAGGATCATTGTATTTTAAGGTCATAATAATCATTTTGGACTAAAATAAATTTTAAATTCATTTAGGTTATAAAAATCCAAAAATGACTAAAAAACAATTCAAGAAAGTTCTTTAAATTGTTTGCTGCAGACGTGATTTACAACAAAATAATAGGTAAGATTTGATTTTTGATTTTCACGCATTTTGAGTTGGATTTAAGATTAAGACATGAAATTCAATTTTGTTCTCCATTGAGTTCTCTTTCATTTGATACCATTTGTTCATGTTGTTCATGCTTATAACCCTAAATTTATGAAAGGGTGGATGAAGGTGATGATGGAATTTGAGGTTTCAAGGCTTGAAAATGATGATATAAGTGTTGTTATGTTGATTTCATGCTTCAAGTCATGAACAATCCATTAGTTTTCCTTTAGAGATCAATTTGGAAAAGATGAAAAGTTAAGGGGTTGATGTTTTGAATTGATTTTTTATGTTAGATATGATGAGAATATTATGTTTTATACATTAGCATGTTTATTCAAGATTGAAAACGAGGAAGAATGGTTGGATCCTAATAGTGACCAAAATGACACTTTAGGAAAAGTTTAAGAATTATATTCAAAGCTTGAATTTGATGAAGGTTGTCGTAGAAAATTACAATACATGTTTAAATGTTTTGTTTGGAGCTTTAAATAACCTTGGATGGTGATCGATTATATTCGACTGTATAGGTTTCTTAAGGAAAAAATTGTGAAAAAAATTCAATTGACTTATTTATGATATTTATTATCTTTCAAGGAATAATTTGATGATTAAACTATTTGAATTTATACTTGAAATGTGAAATTTCTATTGTTAATCCTTAAAGCCTAAAAGAGAAATAAAGACTTAAGGTGAAACTATGGTTTTAAAGGTGAATTCAAGTAAGTTAAGGCGAGTGCAATGCATACATAACATAATATCTTGACTTATATAAAGATCTAGCTTAAAGCTTGGCGAGGCTTATATTTTGACTTATATAAAAAGTGTTAAGGCGAGTGCAATGCATACATAACATAATACATGGATGTTTTATACATCATTAGAAACACTTATGATGAGTATACCTTGTTTATTTATCATGATATTTATGCCATTAATCATTTATTTAACATGTTCTAAATATGTCAAAAGTTAATATAAAATGAAATGATCACTAGTTTATATATGATGTTATATCATGAACGTTATTTCCGGTATGAACTGCCAAATGTTGAATTATGTTGATATGCAATGCCATGAATGAAATAAATATAGACTATATGCCCAAGTAGGCCATTGAGGGACAATGATATAGTTGGTATGTCATAAAGTCCAACATTAGGCTGCATATTTGATTTAGCACTATATAGGACACATAATGCATATAGTGGGTGGGCATAACCATATGTCTATTAGCACTTCGATGTATATTTGACTTGTGTACCCAGGGTTCTTATAGGCTTATATTTGGGTTATGGTTTATTGGTTAATAAATGATAAACATGTGAATAAGCTTTTGAGCTTTTGGAATAAACGACAAGTATATTGGTAAGAAATTTTATATGTGGTTTATATCATGTTAATATATCGTAAGATGACTGTAATACATGTAAAGTGATCATAATGCATTGAGTATTATTATTTATTCATATTTATATGTTGTATTGCATTGACTATTACTATGATTGTCCCACTAAGTGTATACTTAGCGTATGATGATTCTCATGCGTAGGTAAAAAGAAAAAATCAGAGTAAGGAGTATTCGACATCATACCTATCGAGGAGTATATCTCCAGTATCAGTAATGACATATTTCTGATGTATTTTTTATTTTCTAATTGACATGTATATATGTGTTAATAGTATTTTGGTGTAAACTATGCTTAAAACAGGTTTGTAATAGTTTACCTGATAGTAGTTTTAATGAATATTACATAGATTATGATAGTTACAAAAAAATGGACTATATGTTAACGATTCAGTAAAATTTAAATTAAACGAGTATTAAGATGAATGTAGATTAAATAGAATATTGTAGTTTTATTTGTTATATGTTATAGTAGTGAACTGCTAAGTTGTTGCCTAAAATTAAAATTAGTTTGGTTAATAAATTAGAAATTGATGTTCTTTGATAAATTAATAAATGGTTAAAATTTAAATGCTAAACAAATTAGTTTGTCATACCTGAATTTAAGGGTCAATTTATAGGTATTTGAAAGTTAAAGGTAGTTTTAGAAAGTTGTAGAAAATTTAGGGATTGGAACTCAAATTTTACCATTTTTCTTACCCAATGAAAAATAATACCTCGATCGGTAAAACCTTAAAAATCCCTAATTTTTAATCCCTAAATCCATAGCCCATAACTCAACCCCCGTCAGCCTTCATCGCTTAAATTCTTCACCGTTCGGCCACTGTTTGATGCATTGGCACCCTCGTTTGAATCACCGTAGTACCCCGATCAAAGCCCGAGCATCGTCGTGCCGTGAAACACCTCATATCGTCGTGAATCGATGATTTTTTACATGATGAAAATCCCAAAATTTCCCTGTTGTCTTCATCAAATTCCAACCGACCTAGTTGGCGTTGCCATTCACCGCCCTTCCCATTGAGTTCCTCATGTGTTTTCGATAAGAACCCGACCTATCTAGTCCCCTCACCATCGCTGTTATGTTCGGTCACCGTGGGTAAGTTGTCAGTCATTTTTATGGTTGTTTTCAATCGTGATTTTGGCTTGATTTGGAATTAAATTGGTTGTTTTAGATGTAAGGATGATTTTGGAGTAATCAGACCACCAACAGGACCTCCGTCGCCGCCACACACGCCGCCACGTGCTAGGGGTGCGCGTGGGGCTTGTCTTGGCCTAGAGAAATTTCCAGAACCAGGTTGACCCGACCCACCTGTTCGATCTGACCTGACCCGTCTGTTTGATCCGACTCGACCTGACCCGTCTGGTTCAGTCCACTCACCGAGTCAACTCAGTCTGAGTCAACCTGTATGAGTCAACTTAGTCTGAGTAAACTCAGTCTGAGTCAACCCGTCCAAGTCAACTCGTCCAAGTCAACTCGTCCGAGTCAACCCGTCCGAGTTAACCCGTCCGAGTCAACCCGTCTGAGTCAACCCGTTGACTTTGATTTGTTGCCTTTGATATGTTGACTTTGACCCGTGAACTTTAACCAAAAAGTTAACTTTTTTACAAAGGTCATATTTTATGTTTTTCGACGTCCTGATTCCGAATCTGAAGTCTTTTTTTTGCCAAATTAGCACCCAGTAAGCCGTTTTTCAGAGATTCACATTTGGATTCAATATGGTTTTTAAATTAAGTACAGTTTCTGACGTTAATTTGGTTGATTTGTATTCGTAGAATTATTAGACGTTGAATTCAAGTTCTAGAGTGATTGAATGAAGTTTAAAGGATCGTTCGATATAGTGCAAAAATCGAGGTGATACTTTATTATCTTTTGTATGCTTTTAGGGACTCACTGATAAATGATAAATGCATGAATGAAAATAATTGGTCCATTAGGATAGTTAACTATCTTTGGACTCAGATGGAAATTGGATTAAGGACAGAACACTGTATAAGACTCTAACAGCTCAAAAAAGAAATTGGTAGACTGATCAGAAACAGATCTTAGTTCAATGAATAGGTCCATAAATCAATCAATCTCAAAATACGCAAATTCTGATTAATCCCGTTAAAGATTAGATGGTAGAACTATTTGGATAAGAAATTACCAATAATAGTACTATGTTGTAAAATTAGAAAAATGCCCTTATACTGAAAAATGACGCATATATCCCCTGATGGTAAAAATAACCTACGGTAATCAAATGAGTAAAGTACTTTGAACACTAAAGTAACTAGAATGCTTTCAAGCCTAAGTTATCCGAAGTAATGCCACTGATATAATTGATTGATATGTCGATAATACCCTTAAAGTGTAAAAACGAATATGGATAACCATGATAGTATAGACGACCTAAGAAATTATATCACGATCCATTGGAATCTTGGAATCACCGATTAAACTTATGATTTATCTAGAATGCCCCTGAAGTATAATATGAGTCGAAGCACGTCCAAACCCTAGAATAATTAAACACTCGCAGCTCTGAAATAAACAAATCAACCTCGTATATTATATGCCAAGTTAAATGAAATGGAAATACTGTATGTAATCGAATTTACAGAAATGACCGAATTACTCAGGAAACTCCTAAGTGACCGAAATAACTTGAATACTAATTGAATTAAGTACCCCGATGACCCATAATTAAGTTAATAATTTGGATAAGTCTGGAAACACTAATGATCAGTTCGACAAAAGTTATCAGTATTAAAGTGAAAATACTCTGGAAGTGCAACGATTTGACCAGTTGACAGATATCATTGATGAGACTTCTACAGTTCGAGTTAACTCGATGTTTCGATAAATCGACCCAAATCGTAAATGCGCTAAATATTCGTTTCTCCCTTTTCAGCTCAAAACACTTTGAATTATCCAAGAACCTAATGCACAAAATACCTTTGATTTTCCTGAATAATAGAATCACTCCGGCCATATATGAAAACACAAGTAACTCAGGTGTAAAGGATTCTGAATATCCTTATGATTACATAGTGCCTCCGAAAAATGTTTAAATACTATATGATCCTGATAAATCACATTCTGAATAACTGATGATTCCGTCAACTAATGAACTCTTCCGATAATGATTCTAACTTCCAACATTCTATTCGTATACTGAAGATCCGTGTTTCCTCTACCCGATAAGATTATCATGTACCTCTGAATAGTGTCTGGAACCTCTAGTGTGTTCCCTAACCACACATATATTTTCTCTTATTCTGTTCTGATCTTTGATCACTGCTCTGATTTCTGGTATCTCTGTTTACTGACTGAAATTATTTTTATACTGGGTACTCTGGATCTGGTATGAAGACTCTGACAGGTTCAGTCGATGCTGGTAATTCCTTTTATGGGTTCATTACCGATTGGTAATTCCTATCTTTGGCAGGTTCAGTTGCTATTGGTAATTCCTTGAATAAGTTCAGCACCGACTGACAATTCCTTATGGACCTAAGATGACCATTGGGTAGGCTCTGAGGCCCCGATAATATTTTTTGGGTAGGCTCTCAGGCCCCAAGGTACTCTCTTACGTTATGTAGTTATGGGGAATTGCATATGTCATTCGTTTGGAGGGTTTTACTATGGTTTTAAAGATACGTTTTAAACTGTTGATGTTTTAAAAATGATTTGTATATTTTCACTAGTTTTGTGGGAACACACTAGAGTACCTATTCCGATCTCCTGAACGTAGTCATCCGAAATATTTCCCTATGAACTGAAAGCTTACTGTCTGTTACTACCTAAGATATCAGTGGGACCTCAGCTCAACCTAAAAGTCTGTAGATGTTGAACAAATAAGGAAACAAATGCTTATTTGTTATCTGCATGTCATGTAGCATCAATTGGTAGTATTGTGTTACTGAGCTTCCCAAAGCTCATTCCTTGACTCCATATTTCATGTTGAAAGAATCAAACCAGTGTAGCTTTCAACATCAGTAAAAGAGTTCCACCGGTGTTGCTTGCGGAGTACGGTGCATGTAATTAGGGGCATATGACTTATATTTTGCTTTTATATCGAGTCAGATATCTGTTTTATTTCTAAATATTGATAAATTTTACTTTTGTATTTATAAATTCTTCTATGATTTTAAGCGTTTTAACAAAAAGTTTAATTTTTCTGATATTTTTATGGTGGGTCACTCCGGTGGCCCTAATGTGAGAGTTACTTATCTCTGACCCGACTCTAAAAATGAAATTGGGAGATGTTACTGCTCTATGAACCTAACCTCGTAACCAAGGTTGAATTGATTCCACAAGGATAATTCCGTTTCGATTCTTTTATTGGAATGAGGGTAAGTTCTGACGAGAATGTATACTCAGCTGGTTAAGGATAAGTAGAGGACCTGTATTTCTATAAAAACTACTATAAGATATGGAAGAATTGATGAAAACTTCATTTTTGAATTTCTGTGATTTGAGTTAATTTTGAGGACAAAATTTCTTTAAGGAGGAGAAAAGCGTAACATCCGAATTTAAGGGTAAATTTATAGGTTTTAAAACTTAAAGGTTGATAGGGAAGCGGTGATGGGTTAATTAATGTTGATCTTATTGAAGAATCAAACCTAAAAAGCTCTAGACTCGATGAAAAATAAAGGGGGATGAATAGGGAAAGGTGATGTCATCGACTAGGTATTTTAAAGTTTCATTTAAGTGTTGGAAACAAGGTAATAAACAAGATTAGAACAAGATAAACAAAAGATAAAGAAATTGAAAATAAAGTAGATAACCAAGAAATCAAAAGATCTCCCTTATGAAGGTGAACGATAAAGACGATTGATGGTGTGGATGATATGTGGAAAATCGATGGATAATATCCTATTGAGCCCTCCTAGTCGCAACGAAAAGGAAAATACGAAAATATGGCTCTAACCAACCCTCCTAGCCGCGATGAAAAGACAAATTGGAGTGTGAAGATTAATCTCTCTCACAAGAACTTGAAAGAACTCCAGGAGAAGAAGCTTCGAAGGCACAAGGCAATCATCACTTGCAAAAACAATCTCTCGTTGTATAATTAATCAAAGAAATCATATTTACAAAGTTGAATGAAGCCTCCTTTATATAGGGGCTGAGTTCTAAAGGTCTAAATAACTAATGAATAAAATAATAACAAACTAAACATGTCTTAACTCTAATTCCTAATAAAATAATAATAACTAAAAATAATGTTTTAACCCAAACTTATTCCTAATAAAATAATAAATATAATCCTAAAATATAATGCATCATCCTATATTAAATTATATTACAAATAATCAATATAAATATTGAAAATTCGTAATATTTACAAAATCACGTATTAATCTCGTATAGGAATTTCTACATGCGCTATCTTCACTAAAATGAATGTATCTTGAGTTCCCGATATCGGATTGATGTGATTCAAGAACCGTTGAAAGGATAAAGACATACATTTGTATATTCATAAGATATGTTAACCAAATAAGATTAGGATCTCATTCAAAAAGTCATCGGAAGTCTGTTCATGTTCTGGTATTCTTTTCCAAGGCTTGGACAAGTGGATCATTTGGAAGAGTTATTACTTCTTCCTTTCATGTGAGCCTTGTGATGCATGTATCATCCTCCCTTACTTCAAAAAGATTCAACCTCGAATCTATAGCATTAAAGGGAGCAATATTAGAATCGTTTAATGATTCATTCACATTTGCTTACTGGATAGGTTCGAGTAGAAACATTAGTCCAAAGAAGCATGTATTATGGAATCTGGTGCATGTATCATTCCCCTACTCCTCAAAAGGATTCGTCCTCTAATATGAAAATCATAGAGAAAGAGAATTAGATGTGTTGAAAGGAAAACTTTTGAAACATTTACCAAGATCAATGTTATGTGTCATTATGCATTTTAGTCAAGGTTTCTTCTTTGTAGGGACTGATTTCTTGTAGTCTTGAAATCCTCTTTTGCATATAAGTCTTATAATATGATGTTTAGGTTGAAATTCAACATGGCATCGGCTACTATTGGCTTTCTTTATGATTGCTTCAGATATTCTCTCGATGATTTGACTCGTGTGTGGCGAGAATGAGTGTTGAAAAACCATGTTAACTGGTTTGTGAAAGTAATCCCTTAAGTATCCTAAGTGTGGTTCATGAATTAATAATTCTCGGGAGGAGATTTGTGGATTGTAAAACCTTCGTGGTAGTGCATCATCTATTGTGTTTTGCTTACCTCGGTCTTTTATGCACTTAAAGGAGTTGTGTTTATTATGGATGACAATTTCAAGAGTCTTACCTTGTAAAAAATAGAAGTGTTTTATAATATCATTAAAATAAGTAATAAAATACTTACCTTTGGACTTTCGTAAATCATGAATCTTCATTGATATAACATATTGATTAGGGCTTTCAGGTGGTAACCCGTCAGGATGGTCACCTAACACCATTCGACAACTCTTGGTGATGGAAGATGGTATGGGCCAGTCTCATGTTGCTTTTAGTTTTTCATCATTTACATGGATGCCCTGTGCACAAACTATAAAACCTGTGAAGTTTTTCAAATCATGTTTCGTCTTTAAGTTGGCGTCACTACTAAGGCTTTCATGGATGTAACTTTTTTGTAACAAATCTAACTCTTTGGTTTCTTTGAGATTGTATGTTTGACGATGTATGATGAAACCTTAAATTAAATTGGTTTGGTTTTGTTTTCCTCTTTCCAGTGGTAATCCGTCAGGTGGATCACCTAGCACTTCTCGAAAATCCTGTAAAAGAGATGAAAACACACTAGGAAAATCCTTGTTAATGTTAGAAATCGAAACAATTGATTCCTTAAAGAGAACAAGGATGCAAGTTTGTTTGTAAAGAAGATTCTCTCTCAATTCTTTTTTGCTCACACATAGATTTTGAGTCACTCTTTTCTTCTCACAAGTAGGTTCACTCACCTCCCATGGGTCATTATTCTTTTGGCTTTTGTAACTAGTAACCTCTTTTGCTTTTGCCTCTTTATGAGATTTTTCTTTTTTTACTTTCCCTACCTCCTCACAAATTCTCATTTGATCTTTAGGGGCTGAAAGTGTGTCATTCTTAGCTGGTCATTGTTTCTACTTATCCGATTTGTTATCTCTCGATTTTTCTGAGAAGATGGAGTACAAGATGAGGAATGATTTGAAGGATTACCTTGGTAATGTTCTCTGAATCGGAATTTCCTTTGGATTTGTTCTTCGATTGTTATTGCCTTCTTTAGTGTATCTTCAAGGTTTTCATACTGATGGAGGTCAAGAAGATCAGTGATGTTTGAGTTCAAGCTGACGACGAATCTTGACACGTTGGCCTATTCTTTTTCAATTATGTTAGCCCTATTAAGTAAGGATTGCATCTCCTTGTAGCAGTCTTCAACTGAACTTCTACCTTTTCGTAGTCAGTGTAGTCATAGTTTAACTTCTCGTGTATAATGTATCGATATGAATCGATTCTTTATGGTTTGTTTAAGGTCGATCCAAGAATTGATTGCTTGAATTTGGAAGTTCTCAATCTTTTTCCTTGTTTGCATCCACCAAGTATGGGCATATTCTTCGAATTTCATGGTGATGAGGGGAACTTGTTCAGCTTGGGGGCAGTCATGGTATACGAACATGAGATCAACTTTTCCTTCCTAATATGTGTACTTGTTCGGATCATTGTCTCCTTTGAAATTTGGGACCGTGAACTTTGGTTTTGCAAAGAGTTTGGGTGCTTGGAAACGTGGTTGTGCTCTTCTGGGTCCCAAAGGTTCAACATTGTTTGGTCTTGGATTCTGGTTTGGTAGATCTAATTGAGGTTCTTGTTGTTCTCTCATGATATTGTTAAGTTCATCAAATCTTTTAATTTGAGTCGTGAGTCGTGCAAGTGTAGCTAAGATAGCCGTAAGTGTCCTGTTGTTATTGTCGCCCATCCTGAAATCATAACACTCAAAAGAAAATTTTAAAGTAAAATAAAAATAAAAGAAAGAAAATTCAACAAAGCAAGAAACCTCACAAGTCACTCCAAGAAAGTAACACAGCGAGAGACAAGTAAGCCGATCTTGTACTCTTTACTTTACCAAGTAGTCTTCCACATTTCGTATCGGAGTTTGATTACTAGCAAAGGCTATAAGAAAAACTTAAAAGCTCTAAGAGGCCATACAAGGGTTAAACTCTAAGAGAATGAGAATACAAAGAAGGAAGAAGTATGCAAACTCTTTAGTCCTACTAACGCAAGAAAGATAATGTGTTAGATAATGAAAAAGAACAATAAAAAGGAAAACAAAAGAACCTAAAGCACTAAGAGTTAAAGAAAAAGAAACCAAACCTAAAACCTAGAAAACGCTGGGTCAACTTGAGCAATGTTTTTGAGGGGGTTACCGGTGTCCAAATATTTTGAAGAAATTCTTGAATGTCTTTCGATGCGTCTAGAAACCACATGTAAAATTTCATAACCAAATACCTTCAGTAGTATCCAGTAGACTCTGTTGAACGGTGAGTCCTCTAACAATCTATTTTTTTGTGATCGCTTTCTTCGAAGGTGTTATTGATCTCCAAAATTCTTTTTTTTGTGAATGATCTTCAATATATGGAGTTGCAATATGGAAATTTTCACCACAAAATTCCTCATGTAGAATTTTCAAGAAATTCAACAAGATTCTAGACCGAATCTGCCGATGAAACTTGAATGATGTATTTGAAGGCTCTAATGAACTCTGATTGGGTTAAAATTTGTAGTGGAGATTACCCTTAGGATGACTATGATATATGGATAAAATAAACCCTAAATTCATTCATTTATAGTTTTTGTTTATTTTTTGGTTTTTTTAAATAGCAAACTAACAAGAAGGATTTGAATCTAAATTAAAATTAGATAAAAAGAACTTGAAACGATGAATCTTTTTTGAACTAGCTCCATTGGGGTACCTTGACGATTTTGTGTGCAAGAACAAGCAAGATTTCTTGCTTCTTTCCAAGAATCGGCCCAAATCTGATACCAATTGATAGGGAAACGGTGGCAGGTTAATGAACGTTGCTCTTGTTGAAGAATCAAGCCTAGAAAGCTCTAGACTCGATAAAGAAAAAAGGGGGATGAATAGGGGAATATGGTGACATCAACTAAGGTCTTTTAGAGTTTCGTTTAAGTGTTGGAAACAAGGTAAGAAACAAGATTAGAACAAGATAAACAAAAGATAAAGAACTTAAAAATAAAGTATGATAATCAAGAAATCAAAAGATCTCTCTTATGAAGGTGAACGGTAAAGATGATTGATGGTGTGGATGGATATGTGGAAAATCAATGTATAATGTCCTATCGAGCCCTCCTAGTCGCAATGAAAAGGCAAAGACAATAATATAGCTCTAACCAACCCTCCTAGTCATGATGAAAAGGCAAATTGGAGTGTGAAGATTAATCTCCCTCACAAGAACTTGAAAGAACTCCAGGAGAAGAAGCTTCGAAGGCACAAGGCAATCAACAGTTGCAAAAATAAATTCTCGTTGTATTATTAATCAAAGAAATCTGATTTACAAAGTTGAATGAAGCCTCATTTATATAGGGGTTGAGTTCTAAAGGTCCTAAATAACTAATGAATAAAATAGTAACAAACTAAACATGTCTTAACTCTAATTCCTAATAAAATAATAATAACTAAAAATAATATTTTAACTCAACCTTAATTCCTAATAAAATAATAAATATAATCCTAAAATATAATGCATCATCCTATATTAAATTCTAATAAAATAATCAATATAAATATTGAAAATTCGTAATATTTACAAAATCACGTATTAATCTCGTATAGGAATTTCTGCATGCACTCTCTTCACTAAAATGAACGTATCTTGAGTTCCCAATATCGAATTGATGCGATTAAAAAACCATTGGAAAATAAGAAATAGACGGTTGTATATTTAGAAGACATGTTAACCAAATAAGATCAGGATACCATTCAAAAAGTTATCACAAATATATTGCTGTTCTGATACGCTTTTCCAAGGCTTGGACGAGTGGATCATTTGGAAGTTATTACTTCTTCCATTGATGTGAGCCTTGTGATGCATGTATCTAAGGTATTTTAGAAAAATTCAGAAAATTTAGGGACTGGAACCCGAATTTCAGTATTTTTATTACCCAATAAAAAATAAACCCCATATCAGTAAAACCCTAAAAATCCCCAATTCTTAATCCCTAATTTCCTAGCCCATAATTCAACACCCGTCGGCCTTCATCACTTAAATTCGTCACCGTTCAGCCGCTGTTGGATGCACTTCCACCCCTGTTCGAACTACGTACTGCCCCGACCAAAGCCAAACCATCGTCGCGCCATGAAACGCCTCATATGTCGTGAATCGATGATTTTTCACGCGATGAAAATCCAAAAATTTTACCATTGTTTTCGTCAAATTATGACTGGCCTAGTCGGCGTTGCCATTCACCTCCCTTCCCTTCGAGTTCCTCAGGTGTTTCTGATAAGAACCTAACCCATCTGGTCACCTCACTGTCGCTATTCCGTCCGGTTGCAATGGGTAAGTCGTCGATCACTTTTATGGTTGTTTTTAATCGTGATTTTAGCTTGATTTGGAATTAAATTGGTTGTTTTGGATGTAAGGATGATTTTGGAGTAATCAGACCACCAACAAACCTCTGTCATCGCCACTTGTCTCAGCATGGAGAAATTTTCGGAACCGGGTCGACCCGACCCGACCTGCCTGTCCGATCCGACCTGACCCGCTGTTCCGGTCTAGTCATCGAGTCAATTCAGTCCGAGTCAACCCATCCAAGTCAACTCAGTCTGAGTCGACCAGTTGAGTCAACTCGTTCGAGTCAACCTGTTAACTTTAACCCGTTGACTTTGACCAAATAGTTAACTTTTTCGAAAATGTCCTATTTTATGTTTTTCGACGTCCTGAGTCCAAATCCGAAGTCCATTTTTCCTAATTTATACATGGTAAGCCGTTTTTCAGAGATTTACCTTCATATTCAATATGGTTTTTAAATTAAGTCCAGTTTCTGACATAAAATTGGTTTCTTTGTATCCGAGGAATTATTGGACGTTGAATTCAAGTTCGAGAGTGATTGAATGGAGTTTAAAGGATCGATCGGTATGGCATGGAAATCGAGGTAATACTTTACTACCTTTTGTATGCTTTTTGGACTCACTGATCAATGGTAAATGCATAAATGGAAATAATTGGTCCATTAGGATAGTTAACTATCTTTGGACTCAGAAAAAATTGGATTAATGACAGAACACTGTATAAGACTTAAACGGCTCGAAAAAGAAATTGGTAGACTGATCAGAAACAGATCTTAGTTCAATGAATAGGTCCGTAAATCAATCAATCTCAGAACACGTAAATTCTAATTAATCTCGTTAAAGATCAGATGGTAGAAATATTTGGATAAGAAATTCCCAATAATAGCACTATGTGGTAAAATTACAAAAATGCCCTTGTATTGAAAAAGGACCCATATATCCCTTGATAGTAAAAATAACCTACGGTGATCAAATGAGTAAAGTACTCTGAACACTAAAGTAACTAGAATACTTTCAAGCCTAAGTTATCTGAAGTAATGCCACAGACATAATTGATTGAAATGGCGATAATACCTGAGTGTAAAAAGGAATATGGATGACCATGATAATAGAGGCAACCTAAGAAATTATATCATGATCCATTAGAATCTTGGAATCACCGATTAAACTCCTGATTTATTTGAAATGCCCCTGAAGTATAATATGAGTCGAAGCACATCCAAGCCTTGAAATAATTAAACACCCGCAGCTCTAATATGAACAAATCAACCTTGTATATTATATGACCAAGTTAAACGGAATGGAAGTACTATATGTAATTGAATTTACAGAAACGATCGAATTACTCAAGAAACTCCTAAGCGACCGAAATAACTTGAATACTAATTGAATTAAGTACCCTGATGACCCTAAATTAACTGAATAATTTAGATAAGTTTAGAAACACTGATGATCAGTTCGACAAAAGTTGTCAGTGTTAAAGTGCAAATACTTTCGAAGTGAAACGGTTTGACTAGTTGACATATATCATTGATGATACTTGTACAGTTTGAGTTAACTCGATGTTTCGATAGATCGACCCAAATCGTAAATGCCCTAAATCTTTGTTTCTCCCATATCGGCTCAAATCACTATGAATTCTCTAAGAACCTAATGCCCAAAATGCCTCTGGTTTTTTTGAATAATAGAATCATTTCGGCCATATATGAAAACACAAGTAACTCAGGTGTAAAGGATTTTGAATACCCTTATGATTACTTAGTGCCTCTGAAAAATGTTCAAATACAATATGATTCTGATCAATCACATTCTGAATAACTGATGATTCTGTTAGCTAATTAACTCTTTCAATAGTGATTCTAACTTCTTACATTCTATCGGTATACTAAAGATCCATGTTTTCACTGCCCGATAAAATTAACATGTACATCCAAATAATGTCTGGAACCTCTAATATGTTCCCTAACCACACATATATTTTCTCTTATCCTGTTGTGATCTCTGATCACTGCTCTAATTTCTGGTATCTCTATTTACTGACTAAAATTATTTTTATACTAGGTACTTTGGGATCTGGTATGAAGACTCTGGTAGTCTTAGTCGCTTCTAGTAATTACTTGTATATGTTCAACACCGATTGGTAATTCCTATCTCTGGCAGGTTCAGTCATTGCTGGTAATTCCTTGAATAGTTTCAGCTCTGACTGGTAATTCCTTATGGACCAAAGGTGACCCTTGTGTAGGCTCTGATGCCCTGAGAATCTTTCTTGGGTAGGCTCTCATGCCCCAAGGTGCTCCCTTAGGTTATGTAGTTCTGGGGAACTGAATATGGCGTTCAGTTGGAGGGTTTTACTATGGTTTTAAAGATATATTTTAAACTGCTAATGTTTTAAAAATGATTTGTACATTTTCACTAGTTTTGTTAAAACACACTAGATAATCTATTCAGATTTCCTGAACACAGTCATCCAAAATATCTCCCTCTAAACTGAAAGCTTACTGTCTGTTACTACCTAAGATATCAGTGGGACCTTAGCTCAGCCTAAAAGTCTATATATGTCTGAACCTATAAGAAAACATATCTTATTTATTATCTGCATGTCCTGTAGCATCAATTGGTAGTATTGTATTATTGAGCTTCTCAAAGCTCATTCATTGACTCTCTATTTTAGGTTGAAAGAATCAAACCAGTATAGCTTTCGACATTAGCAAGGGAGTTCCACTGGCGTTGCTTGCGCAGCACGGTACATATGATTAGGGGGCATGTACATTGTATTTTACTTTTATATCCTAGTTAGATATCTATTTTATTTCTGAATATTGATAAATTTCACTTTTGTATTTATATATTATTTTATGATTTTAAGCGTTTTAACAAAAAAGTTTAAATTTTCTGATATTTTTACGGTGGGTCGCTCCGGTGGCCCTAATGTGACACCCCAGATCGGGTCACCCGCATTGGTCTGAGGGGGTTACATAGTTTGTGACATTCTGGCTCATATTTGGGAATTAAATACGGGTAATGTTATTACATTAATTGCTATCATAGCTACATGTGTAGTAGATTATAGACATGAGTCTTGTGTGTAGTGAGTTGGGATCATATATATGCTACTAAGATGTCATAATTACTGATATTTGTATATATATACTTTGATTCATATTATTTAGTAATGTTACTCCTTACTAAAGTTAGATGATTGTGACTTTAACAGATGTTAGACCATCAGGATTCTCATCAAACAACTGAGCAGAATACTCCTGTACAGAGAGAGAGTAATGAGATAAATCAAAATCCATCTTTTACTCAGCAGAATGTAGAGACACATGCTCAAGATCAGTAGAATATGCTTGTACAAGATCTAAGTTTATTTTGCCAGGCATTGGATGCTATCATAAATCATCGAGCACCAGTATCAATTTCAAAGGAATTGAGGAAAATAAAAGCTCCAGAATTTCTAGGTGATACTGATGCAAATCCAGTTGTTGCTGATTACTTGATTACTAATTGAATGATATAAAATTTATGCTAATCAGGTTTCCTTGTGATGATTAAAGAAAGTTAAAGGGAGTCATATCTATTTTGATGAAGCAAGCTAGTGTGTGGTGGAATATAATCACTACACAAGTTCCTTCAGAGCAGATTACGTGGGAATTCTTTCTAAAGGAATTCAAAGAAAAATATATATAGGACGTGTTCATTGATGAAATGAGACAATTATTCCAGAACTTGAAGTAGTTTAGTTGGTTAGTCTACGAATAAGAATGTGAGTTCAATAGACTAAGTCGATTTGCTGCAGAGTTCCTCAAAACCAAAAAATCCAGAGTTGACAGGTTCATTGCTGGGGTGGATGCCAAATATAAAAAGATATTAATTTCTCACAATTTTACTACTTTTCAAGAAACTATGAATTAACCAAAGGCTATGGAAAAAGTAGATCTTGAGGAAAGTGTGGAGACAAAGGCTTAGACCAGTAAAAGGCCTAGAAGTTCTTTTACTGCCATCATTTAAACGTAGTAAAATATTTTCATAGAAAATTGTGCAGCGTCAGGATCTTCAATTAAAAGGGGATATTCTGGAGGAAAGACAAAGCAGACTTAGACAACTACTGCAGGTACTCGAGGTTCGAGATTTCATCTTATTCCGGAATGCAAACACTATGGAAAGAAATATTCTAGTAAGTGTTGGTTCATTGGAGGAACATGCTACCATATAGGCAAGCTGATCATTTTAGAAAGAATTGTCCAGAGGTTTACCAGATTAGTCAGTGGTAGCACCTCAGAAAGATAGAGGTACCAAAAGCGGAAAATAAAGAGTATCTGAGGTTACATCTAATTTAGAAGACAAGACTACTACTCGAGCATATAATATCAAGACTTGTAATGATCGAGAGATAGTAGCAAGTACGTTCAAACTCTTTGAGAAACCTATATTTGCATTGATTGATCCATACTCTACACATTCTTATATTAGTTGAAAAGTAATACTTGAAAGAAATATCTCAATAGAACTAATTTCAAGTGAAGTGGTTGCTACCAATCCAATAGGTCAAAGTGCCAAAGTAAGTCGAACATACAGAAAATGTCCTTTAAAGATTCAAGAAGTAGAATTCTGAGCTGATCTTATGGAATTACCATTCAAAGAGTTTGAAATCACTATAAGAATGGATTGGTTATCGATATATGATCCTACGATTAAATGTCAATTGAAAAAATTAATCTTAAAGGGACCAGATGACTCAAAAATAATATTTATAGGCGAAAAGACTAATTATCTGAGCAATTTTATATCAGCTGTAACTGCTAGAATTTTATTATCACATGAGAGTGAATCATATTTATCTCATATTGTAAATACTAAGGAAACAAAGATAAATCTAGAGGATATCCAATGGTAAGAGAATTTCCTGATGTACTCCCAAATGAATTGCAAAGATTACCTTGTAATGCCCCAAATTTTATATAATGACCAAAATATAAAATTTGAAAGTTTAGTGTCCAAAGTATAAACTTTGAAAAAGTTTAGGGATCAAAATGGTAATTTAAAAAGTTACATTTTGACCTCATAAATAAATAGTTTACTGCAAGAATAACTTTTCTGTGAGAATCAAAATTTTTGTACAGATTTTGTATTAAAAGTTATAAAGCGATAAAGTTTGAGGAAATATTTGGTAAGTCGGATCGAATAGAAAATTTAGGAAAATCTTAAGGATGTTAAATTATTATTAAAAATATTATTTCCACATTTTAAAATGTTGGAAAATTATATAAATCTTTGGATTTGAGGATTTAATTCCATGATTAATTTGGACCTTTGGATTAAAGTGGTAAGATTGTAATTTTTGGAAAAAGACAAGGCCAAATCGGTAAAGTAAGATTTTGTTTGTTCATCTTTGAATTTAGTAAGATGATAAGGTTGAGGTGTCTTGGTTTGATGGTAAATATGAAGTTCCATTAAGCGTAAATTGGTATTTTCCCAATTAAATGAATTTAATATTCATTAAAGTTTAAATTAAAGATAAATTAACATGAAATTAATTTAAAATTCATGCCAATTTGTTATCATCTTCTCCACGTGCCGTGAACCTCCTAAGGTAAGAGAAAAAATTTTGATTTTCATTTTTGAGCAATTTCCTTTGGATTTCAAGTTATATCGTGAAATAGAAAAATTAATCTATTCGAAAAACGCTATCTATTGGTACCAATTATGCTTGCTCAACTTGCTTGATTTCAAAGATCTTAATTCTTAGTGTTTGTGTTCACATTAGGGTTTTTGAAATTGATGATTAATTTGATGTTTTTGAGGTTGTAGATTAATTTTCAAGCTTGGTTGATGATTAAAACTGGTTCAAACTTCCTAGAAATGTTTCTATGATTTTCGGCCAAATTTTGAAATTATAGAACTTTGTGTTTTGATGACAGTTGATTAGGGATTTGATAGTACATATGATGTAAGGTTGATTGGAAGTTGATTTCATGTTTGAATTGAATCAAAATCGAGCAAAATAATGAAAACCTAGTTTTTAAGGTTTAAAGTATTCGACCAAGGCATGTTTTAGTGAGAAAAATTATGCAAAAATTATGTAAGGGCTCAAAATGAAGTAGGAAATATGTAACAAACCTTAGAAAAATTTGAGAACCATTTTGTAATTTTTTAAAAGTTGGGGGGCCAAGTCAAAAATTTTGGAAATATTGTAAATGGTTGTGTAATTGTCTAATAGTTGATGTACTATCCTGGAAATTACTATTTTGGAATTGAAATGAGTGTTAAGATGTAAAATATGACTATTTTGGAAGTTTGAAAAGTTTGGTGATTTAAGTACAATATTCGTATAATTGGCGAGCTTAAATGTAATTGTGCATTTGTAAAAGCAATTGGGTGGTATTAATTTCAATGCTGGAATTTTGGTATTAAAATTTTAAGTGATAAAATGGTGAAAGACCATTTTGTGTAAATTGGAAAAGTTGGTGCCAATATTGAAAGAATTATTAAGTGTTCAAGTATTTTGGTAGAAAATAAGTTTCAAGTATATTATGGATTTTGTTTTGGAGATGTGTTTATGTTAGTAAAATACTAACATAATCGACATCAATTTGTGATTTTGTACATATTGTAATTGATTTTGTGATCGAAGCAAATCGAATATAAAATGATATAGTGTGGAGCATAGTGAGACACATCTTTTGATATATATAAAGTGTCAAGGTGAGTGTAATAGATGTTATTTTGGGTATGAACTACCCTAATGTTTATTACATGGTTATTCGCTGCTATGGATGATTTAATACATGACTAGATGCCCAAGTATGTTATTGAGGTTTAGTGGTATTAATGGCATGTCGTAGAGTGTAGCAGCTGCAAATTTAAGTAGTACTAGAGTGTCTAATAAAGACACATAGTACAAGTCAGGTGGGCAAGGCTCGACCTCAGCCCTACGATGCATTATTAAGTGAGCAAAGCTCGACCTCAGAACTATTGTGCAATATTTGACTCCTATACCGAGTTCCTAATGGATTAAAAATTTTGGACAATTGTTGCTGGTATAAAATGATTTTATTTATATTATGTCGTTTTGATTATGACATTGGAAAATGAAATTAAATTTATTGCATGATTTGTATTGCATTGTTTATTGTGCTTAATTGCCTCACTAAGTTTATACTTAGCGTGTAATGATTTTCACACGTAGGTAAAAACCAGGATTAGAGGTAAAGAGTACAGAGCAACTCCAAGCATAAGGGAATATATTACAATATCAGTAAGACATCCTATGATGAAACTTTGACTTAGTTTTGTGGCATATACTTACGAATGTCCTATTAGTTCTGTTTAAGTATTTTGAAAACTTGTTTGTAATGGATAAACTGGATCATTTTATGCTATTTTAAATATGGATAATATGAACCATTTTTTTTATTTTGAGTAGACATATTTGATATACATATATATGTTTTGAATATAATGTGATAGTTTTACTTGAGATTCTATTTTTGCATTATCAATTACCATTTTAAGAAAATAAATTTTTAAATCACTTTTGAATTTGGAAATATTTTAAGAAATTCATGTGCTATCTATAATCTATATTGGTTTAATTATACGAGTTTTAGGTGTTACATATATTGGTATTAGAGCTACATGTTTAGCTGTTTCAGGACATGGAAAAAGTCTATAATAAGTTAAGATTGTATACATGTCATTAGGATGTCAAAAGTTTATTGATAGTTGTATATATACTATGATGATTCTTATTAGTGAGTAAAGTCGGTCTTTACTAATGTTAGATGATTTTGACTGTGTTTAGATATAAGAAAGAAAGGAAAAAAGGTAAGAAAATTAATAACGTTGAAAGGAAGGTCGAGATCAAAACAGATCCAAAATTATCCGATATTTCTTCATCATCACGCTTTAGAAGAGTCGAAGTTGTCAGAGATTTTCCTTCATTTTGTGGAAGAAATGCCCCAACGTTTAATGATGTTTCTACACAAGAGGAATCAATTAAAACGATTAAGCGAATTACAATAGAAGTTGAATCGGATGAGGATCCAGAGGAGATTACTGAATCTATTGACGACTCTGAGGTTTCGTCAGGTAAGCTTAAATAGTTGAAGAATATTTAAGTTAATCATTAAATTGTTTAAAGAATTATTGATTTGAGGAAGTGGTAAATAAGTTGTATGCTAAAAGTTTAAAGAAATCTGAGTTATTAGTGAATCAAATGATAATTAGCTTGAATGAGAGTACATGTTAAGTTTTATGGACTTGATAGAATTACCTTACGAAGGTAAAATTGTTAAATGGATTGTCTTTCCATTCCAGGCTATAATGAATTATTGCGTAGATGTAATTGATTCTCAAGAACTTGAAAAGTTTCGAGTTCATATTGGTAGGAAAAATAGAAAATTTGTTTACTAGTTCGATTTTAGCATTAACTGTTATGAAGTTATTGCTACAAATTTTCAATTCTTCAAATTGAACGACGTGGACATTTAGACTTTTATTTGAGATGGAAAATGTTTCAACTGCTCGAGAATATTTTCTATGGATCTGGAAAGGTTATACGAATTACCTTAAGAAAGAAATAAGGAATTCTAAAATAGAGATATTCAATTTGACTTGATCTTAAGTGATATTATAGTGGAAAACCTATGGGTCATGGTGCAAGTGCGAGTCAGACAGACAATAATTTTTGGATAAAGATTCAAGAGGCTATATTCCAGGTGAATCTTATGGTATTATCATTTAACGAGTTTTAGATCATATTGAGCATGAGTAGGTTGTCTCTGCAGTCAGGTTGGGTTAATGGTCTCAAAAAGCGATTAATTTAGAAGGATGTTAAGAAATTGGAAATTTTAGTGATTGATGAATTAGCGAAATAATCACTAATGTGATATCAACAATGGTTACGATTAATTGATGTAAAAAGGATGTATAGTTTTTCTAGCTAAGTTAGTAAATACTTAAGTATATGAAGTAAGTTTATATGATATTCCCATAACTCGGGAATTTCCATATGTTTTTAGATGAATTATCTGGGTTACCTCTAGATCGAGAGGTGGAATTCAAGATTGATGGTTATCAGGGCATTGATCTTGTTTTTATGGGTTTGTATCAAATGGATCAGACAAAGTTAAGAGAATTAAAGGCCCAATTGCAAGAGTTGCTAGATCGAGGATTCATTAGATCTAGTATTTTACTTTGGGGTGCACTGGTGTTGTTCGTGAAAAAGAAAGATGGATCAATACGATTATGTATAGATTATCACCAGTTAAACAAGGTGAATATCAAGAACAAGTATCCTCTTCCGAGAATTGATGACTTGTTTGATCAACTTAAAGGAGCAGCAGTTTTCTCGAAGATTGATCTTCAATCGAAATATCACCAGTTAAAGAGTAAAGAGAAAGATATTCCAAAAACAGCTTTCAGAACATGGTATGGGCAATACGAGTTCATAGTAATGTTTTTTGGTTTGAAAAATGCTCCGGTAACATTCATGGATTTGATGAATAGAGTATTTCAACCTTACATGGATCAATTTGTGGTGGTATTTACTGATGAAATTCTGGTGTACTCGAAAACAAGGATAATGCATGATGTTCATCTCTGTACTGTGCTCGAGATACTTAAGGATAAAAATTTATATGTCAAGCTATCAAAGTGTGAGTTTTGGCTGTCAGAAGTTACTTTTCTTGGTCATTTTCTTTTGGCAGAAGGCATAAGAGTTGATCCTAAGAAGGTTCAGGGAATAATGGAGTGGAAACCTCTAACGAATGTTACAGAGGTTCGAAGCTTCTTGGGATTTGCTGGCTATTATTGGAGGTTTGTGAAAAAAATTTTGATGATTGCTTCTCCATTGACCAAGCTCTTGATAAAGGATGTTTCATTTACTTGGACTGAGAAGTGTCAAGGGAGTTTTGAATATCTAAAGAAAATTTTAACGGAAGCACCAGTGCTGGTATAACTGAAGTCTGGTAAAGAGTATATGGTGTATAGTGATGTATCTCATAATGGTTTGGGTTGTGTACTTATGCAAGAAGGTAAGGTGGTAACGTATGCTTATCGACAACTATAGACACTTGAGAGAAATTATCCTACTCATGATCTTGAGTTAGCAGCAGTGGTTTTTGCTCTAAAGATTTGGCGTCATAATTTGTATGGTGATCGATGATACATCTACATGGATCATAAGAGTCTGAAGTACATGTTGACTCAAAAAGAGATAAATTTGAGACAGAGGAGATGGATATAACTCTTAAAGGACTATGATCTGATCATTGATTATCATCCAAGGAAGGCAAATGTTGTAGCTGATGTACTTAGTAGGAAAACTTTTATAGCTTTGCGAGCTATGTATGTGTGACTATTGTTGAAAGAAAATGGCACATTGTTGGTTGAATTAAAGATAAAATCGATGCTTCTAGATCGGATAAAAGATCTACAAAGGGAAGATGAGAGATTCTTGGAAAAAATGCACTTGTGGAAAAATGTGAGACTAAAGACTTTGAAGTCAGGTCTGATGGATATCTGTATTACTGAGGAAAAATCTACATTCCACACGATGATGTATTGAAGAAATATATTATTTCTGAGGCACATTATATTCTGCTGACTATGCATCCAGGCAGGAACAAGATGTATCGAGATGTAAATAGTCGATTTTGGTGGCCGGGTATGAAAAAAGTTGTTACTGAGTTTGTTGCTACATGTATGACGGCCAACAAGTAAAAGTTGAGTATCAAGTGCCTTCAGGATTGTTGCAACAGATTTCCATTCCATACTTGAAGTGGGAAAGAGTCACTATGGATTTTGTTACAGGGCTACCTTTGACATAAAATGAGAAGGATTCTATTTGGGTTGTAGTTGACCAGTTAAATAAGTCGACACATTTCATTTCAGTGCGAATGGACTATGCATTGGATAAATATGCAGAGTTGTATATAAAGGAGATAGTTAAGCTGCATGGAGTGCCAGTATCGATCATATTTGATAGGGATCCAAGGTTCATTTCATGATTTTGGAATTATTTGCATAAAGCTTTAGGTAGATGATTGAATTTCAGTACAACCTTTCATCCGCAGACGGATGGTCAATCAGAGCGTACTATTCATATATTAGAAGATATGCTGAGGGTATGTGTGATTTAATTCAAGGAGTCATGGGAAAAGTATTTGGCTTTAGCAGAATTTTCCTATAACAATAATTATCAATCGAGCATCAAGATGGCTCCGTATGAAGCTTTATATGGGAGAAAATACCAAACACCATTAAATTGGTTCTAGTTAAATGATCAGAATCTTGTTAACCCTGATTTATTAAAAATATCAAGGATAAAGTGAAGATAATTCAAGATAATCTCAAGATGGCATCTGATCGACAGAAGTCTTATGCAGACTTGAAGCGAAAAGAGATTAAATTTCAAGATGACAATAAAGTTTTTCGTAAAGTATCGCCTTGGAAAAAGATATTGCGTTTTGGGTGGAAAGGAAAACTAAGTCCAAGATTCATTGGACCTTATGAGATCTTAAAGAGAGTCAGACTGGTGGTTTATCAGTTAGCATTACCTCCGGAGTTAGACAAAGTTCATAATGTTTTCATGTGTCGATGCTTAGAAAGTATCGATCAGATCCTTCAAATGTCATTGCATCAGAGGAAATTGATATCCCAGATTTGACTTATGAAGAAGAACCAATACGGATATTGGATCGAGAAATCAAATAACTGTGTAGCAAGACGATTACAGTAGTCAAAGTGCTTTGGCAAAATCATAAAGTCGAGGACGCTACATAGGAAGAGAGTAGGACATGAGGAAACAATATTCACATCTCTTCACTACAGGTAAGTCTTAAAATTTGATGACGAATTTTATTTAACAGGGGAGAGTTGTAATACCCTAAATTTTTGATAGTGACCAAAATATAAAATTTAAAAGTTTAGTAACCAAAGTATAAACTTTAGAAAAGTTTAGGGACTAAAGTGGTAATTTTAAAAAGTTACATTTTTACCCTCGTAAATAAATAGTTATAAAGCGTTGAAGTTTGAGGAAAGATTTAGTAAATCGGATCAAATAGAAAATTTAGGAAAATCTGAAGGATGATAAATTATAATTAAAACTATTATTTCCATATTTTAAAATGTTGGAAAATTATATAAATCTTTGGATTTGAGGATTTAATTCCATGATTAATTTGGACTGTTGGATTAAAGTGGGAAGATTGTAGTTTTTGGATAAAGGCAAGGGCAAATCGATAAAGTAAGATTTTGTTTGATCATATTTGACTTTAAGTAGATGATAAGGTTGAGTTGCCTTGGTTTGATGGTAAATATGAAGTTTCATTAAGCGTAAATTGGTATTTTCCCAATTAAATGAATTTAATATTCATTAAAGTTTAAATTAAAGATAAATTAGCATGAAATTAGTCTAAAATTCATCAAAGTTCATAATGTTTTTCATGTGTCGATGCTTAGAAAGTATCGATCGAATCATTCACATGTCATTGCATCAGAGGAAATTGAGATCCCATATTTGACTTATTAAGAAGAACCAATACGGATATTGGCTCGAGAAATCAAATAACTGTTTAGCAAGACGATTACACTAGTCAAAGTGCTTTGGCAAAATCATAAAGTCGAGGACGTTACTTAGGAAAGAGAGTAGGACATGAAGCAATATCCACACCTCTTCACTACAGGTATGTCTTAAAATTTGATGACAAATTTTATTTAACTGGGGAGAGTTGAATACCCTAAATTTTAGATAGTGACCAAAATATAAATTTTGAAAGTTTAGTGAAAAGTATAAACTTTAGAAAAGTTTAAGGACCAAAGAGGTAATTTTAAAAAGTTACATTTTTGCCATCGGAAATAAATAGTTATCAAGCGATAAAGTTTGAGGAAAGATTCAGTAAATCGGATCGAATAAAAAATTCAGGAAAATTTGAAGGATGATAAATTTGAAATAAAAATATTTTTCCACATTTTAAAATGTTGAAAAATTATATAAATCTTTGGATTTGAGGATTTAATTCGATAATTAATTTGGACTATTGGATTAAAGTGGCAAGATTGTACATTTTTTATAAAGTCAAGGGAAAATCGATAAAGTAAGATTTTGTTTGTTTATATTTGACTTTAGGAAGACGATAAGGTTGAGGTGTCTTGGTTTGATGGTAAATATAAAGTTTCATTAAGGGTAAATTGGTCTTTTCCTAATTAAATAAATTTAATATTCATTAAAGTTTAAATTAAAGATAAATTAGCATTAAATTAGTCTAAAATTCATCAAAGTTCATAATGTTTTTCATGTGTCGATGCTTAGAAAGTATCGATCGGATCTTTCACATGTCATTACATTAGAGGAAATTGAGATCCCAGATTTGACTTATGAAGAAGAACCAATACGGATATTGGCTTGAGAAATCAAATAACCATGTAGCAAGACGATTACATTAGTCAAAGTCCTTTGACAAAATCATAAAATCGAGGACGCTACTTAAGAAAGAGAGTAGGACATGAGAAAGCAATATCCACACCTCTTCACTACAGGTATGTCTTAAAATTTGATGATGAATTTTATTTAACGGGGGAGAGTTGTAATACTCTAAATTTTAGATAGTGACCAAAATACAAATTTTGAAAGTTTACTGGCCAAAGTATAAACTTTGGAAAAGTTTAGGGACCAAAGAGGTAATTTTAAAAAGTTACATTTTCCCTCGTAAATAAATAGTTATAAAGTGTTGAAGTTTGAGGAAAGATTCAGTAAATCGGATCGAATAGAAAATTCAGTAAAATCTGAAGGATGATAAATTAGAATTAAAAATATTATTTCCACATATAAAATGTTTGAAAATTATATAAATCTTTGGATTTGAGGATTTAATTCCATACTTAATTTGGACTGTTGGATTAAAGTGGCAAGATTGTAATTTTTGGATAAAGGCAAGGGCAAATCGATAAAGTAAGATTTTGTTTGTTCATGTTTGACTTTAGGAAGATTATATGGTTGAGGTGTCTTGGTTTGATGGTAAATATGCAGTTTCATTAAGGGTAAATTGGCCTTTCCCTATTAAATAAATTTAATATTCACTAAAGTTTAAATTAAAGATAAATTAGCATGAAATTAGTCTAAAATTCATGCCAATTTGTTATCATCTTCTCCAACTATCATGATCCTCCTAAGGTAAGATAAAAAATTTTGGTTTTCATTTTTGAGCAATTTCCTTTGGATTTTAAGTTATGTCGTGAAATAGAAAATTGATCTATTCGAAAAACACCATCTTTTGGTACCAATTATGCTTGCTCAACTTACTTGATTTCAAAGAACCTAATTCTTAGGATTTGTTTTCACACTAGGGTTCTTGAAATTGATGATGAATGTTGATGTTTCTGAGGTTGTAGATTCATTTTCAAGCTTGATTAATGATTAAAACATGTCAGACTTCCTAAAAATGTTTCTCTGATTTTCTACCAAAGTATGAAATTGTAGAAATTTTTGTTTTGATGAGAGTTTATTAGGGCTTTGATTGTATATATGTTGTAAGGTTGATTGAAAATTGATTTATGTTTGAATTGAATCAAAATCGAGCAAAATCATGAAAACCTAGTTTTTAAGGTTTAAAGTATTCGACCAAGGCATGTTTCAGTGAGAAAAAATTATGTAAAGGCTGGAAATAAAGTATAAAGTATGTAACAAGCCTTATAAAAATTTGAGGAGCATTCTATAATTTTTGAAAAGTTGGGAGACCAATTCGGTAATTTTGGAAAAGTTTTGACTGGTTGTGTAATTATCTAATAGTTGATGTACTATCCTGGAAATTACTGTCTTGGAATTTAAATGAGTGTTAAGATGTAAAATATGATCATTTTGGAAGTTTGAAAATTTTGGTGATTTAAGTGAATTATTCGTATAGTTAGGGTGCTTAATTGTAATTGTGCATTTGTAAAAGCACTTGGTTGGTAATAATT